TGATTCCTTCTTTGCTGACGGTGAAACCAAGAAATTGAACTTCTTGTTGGCCAAATACGCATTTCGAAGGGTTGATTGTGATTCCGTTGTCTTCTAATCGCTATAGCACGGTGCGTAGATGGGTTTCGTGCGTTTCTTCATCAGGGCTTGCAACAAGGAGATCATCAATGAATGCGAAAACGAAATCCAGTCCATGAAGTACTTCGTGTATGAATCTTTGGAAGGTTTGACCAGCGTTCTTCAGTCCTGGGGTCATTCTTGGAAAACCGAATAATCCCATTGGGATAATTACTGCTGTCTTCTCTATGTCTTCATCGCGTACTCTTATTTGTTGGTAAGCTTGGTTGAGATCGATGGTGGAGAATATACTCTTGTCTGAGAGTTGTTGAGTGAAATCCTTGACTCGCGGTATTGGGTAGCGGTCAGGAGTGGTAATAGAATTGTCTTCTGTAATCCCCACAAACTCGTAATTCTCAATTCTTCTTCAAATGGAAGTGGTGATGACAAGGACTTACGGCATATTCCTTGCTCGATCATGTTTTCGAATTCCTTTCGAACTTGCTGGTATAGGTCTGGTACGATTGGACATTGGCAATGAACTGGTGGTCCATTGGTTTCGATGAAATGCTCAACGTCGTTCTTCGGTGATAATTTCACAGAAGTTATTCTTATGATTCCAGGGTATTCTTGGAGGATCTTGTGATACGATTGTTGAACATCTATGCTTCTTATTGTGGGCAGATTGGTTGCTTGGAGGAAATACTGAGATGCAAGATTGGTTTCCCCGTCGACGATTCTTCTATTTTTGATGTCGACGATCAACTGGTTATGTTGAAGAAAATCAGCACCGATGATTGGTTTGCTGACTTTAGCGACAATAAATCGCCATTTGAATGGTCGGCGTAGCTTTAAATCCAGTTCCATTGTTTTTTCTCCATATGTAGGAATTACCGTATTGTTTGCTGCGTAGAGTTGAAAATCCAGTGGCTTCAACTTCTGTCCTTGCTTCGGCGGTAACATTGAGATATTTGCTCCGGTGTCGATAAGGAAAGTAAGCTTGCTTTTTTATCGGTGAAGAAAAGACGGTAGGACTTTGCTGTTACGCTGGATCCCGTTGCATCAAGCGTATTAGTTAGTTTTCCGATCGTATTTTCATTTTTGAATGTACACGGTGTTGTGCATTTTCTTGCCTCGAACCCGAAACGTCGATGATAGTAGCAGTAAGGAGATCTTGTTCTTGAGCTTGTTCGACTTCTACTTGCAGAGCGGTTGCAACAAAAATTGCATCGCAACACCGAAGATCACCTTGAATTTTTCTTTTAAGAGCAGATGTAGAGTACTCTTCCGCAAATTGCCGATTTTTCAAAATACAAAATCTCTTCATACAAATGTGGAATACGCTATTAAATAAGTAATCTATATTCATATCTTTATGTTCTGGATATTTATCGAGAAACTCCAAATTTATTGAGTTTTTGAACAAAACTTTAATTGTCCCTTTTAATTTTTTTATATGCTTCTACCTCTAAAACATCATAAATCATCGTAGCACTGCTTTCAATACAGTTGATGAGAGAGAGTTTTAGAGGCGTATTTAAAGGACTTTTTTAGATCACTATATTCTTTAAAATCAATAAAAGTATGTGATCTCTCTTGTGTCTCAGATACAAAAATTTCTTTACAAATTTCACATTTGTTGAGATTATTTTTTACTATAAACCCACAGACATAGGCACATGCTTGTATTTCGCCACTGCTTTCTTCCAAGCTACATTCAAATGTAGAATTTACACTTTCTTCTAAATCATCGGTTAAAATTGTGGCATAAGCAGAATGTGTCTGTGGGTGGAGACAATAAAGTTTTAAAATTTGTCAATATAACTTGATTTTGGTCTTCTTCACAATTTCCTGTCCCAATAAAAGATAAGTTGCTAAGGACAGCCGTTTTAAGACCCGCAACAAACTGCCCAGCGGTGGGATTTGAATTGCAGCCGCAATTGGCCCGAATGCATCCAAAAAGATTTTCTGATTTTAACGGGTCCTGCTGGAGCCTTCTTGTTTCCAAACTTTTTATTGATTTATGTTTAGAACTGAGATTTCTCCAGATTCGTTCTATTAGATTGATGGACGATATCCAACCTTCTTGGGATGGAGGGGTTCGTTTGCATCCCAAAAACGTCATTTCTTTAAAAAAATTCTTCATTAAAGTGAAATGTTTGAGATGTGGTGTATTATTTGTCATGTTTGTCGAAAATGGTTTCCCCCTTCTTAGGTATGGTGTGCATGCGTGGACACAATCAAACAGCTTGTCCTATTTGTGCATGGTTATACTTGTGAGCGCTTTTCATTCTGCTTCGTATTTGGATTTAAATGTTCTTGTTTTAAGCAAGGTGCAAACACAAAATTGGGATTGGTGTTTTGTGTTTCATAAAACTCCTTTATATGGCTCCATTTAGCAACACCTGTAAAAAAAATTTGTGTAAATATCCAGTAAATTGGAAATATGTATAATATTATGATTGTAATAAAACAAAATATCTTACCAAATCCAATTTGATCATTTGATGTTATATTTGTTGGACATTTAATGTCATATTTTAAAAACATATTTCTAAAGCATTTGAGTAAATGTGGAGTATCAAAAATGGTAACCACTTCTCGATTACTTAACAGAATATATGGCTGTTCTACAGATGCTCCCAAGATACTTAAAGCTCTGTTATTCACACCATCCATATCACACACTGTAGCTGAAATATTAATTCCAACATCAAAACAATGTTGCAGGACCTAGAATGATAAAAGGGTAAATTAATATGGTAAAAAAGTACTACTACATATATTGACATAATAACAAATAAAAGACCATAATGCTCACCTTAGAATAATAATAAGCAATTGGTTGTTTCAGCTTTTTTACGGATTGCCAATCATGAACACGAGGGCATGTGTTGCCATTTGTGGTGACCTGCCCTGCAATGCATGGTCTTGATAACCCTCAATTATTTTTTTTTATTAACAATATATGGGGGGTGGTTGGTTTCCTTATTATCCTTTTATACAGTCTTAGTGCTATTATTTTGGAGTCCATGTTCCATCTTCGACCTTTTGATTTTTTTTATAGTTTTGCAATTCTCCTTGCAAAAATAATGCAAAAGGGGGGGGATATTTTACATTTTAATATTTCATTTACTGAATCATTTTTGCTCAATACTTTGAGAAATGCTTCATTCTTTAGATGCCTTACAGTTTTTTGAAGCCTGTTAATTTTTCTCAGATGATATTTCATTTTTATCAACATATCTTTATCCTTTTTGTTGTGCAGCAGGTAGTGCTAATTAATGACATGAAAATGTTGACTTATTATTTTTAATGCAGTCAATAACAATAATATAACGAAAATAATTTCTACAAATATAATATTATTGGTGGAATCTATAATATAATCAGGTTATTGGAGTTTAGACATAATAATGCAAAGCTATTGCCTTGTTTGTAGAATGTGAAGGTAAATAATGTTTTCTTGTTAGAAAATAGTGTTTATATTAGATTGTCTAATCTTTTTTATATAAAACCAATGTAACTTTACTTTCCATTTTGCTTAAATGTCATGTTACATATGCCGTTTACTTAATAGGTGAAGTGATGAACTAATTAGCTATAAACTAATAATCATTGACACGTGCTTTAGCGAAGTTACGAGAATGCTTATTTCCTATACTTCTTTAAAACACGCCTACCTCTTAAAAATAGACTATTCTGTTTTACATAACTAAGTACTTAACTATTAAATCGATATTTAGTTAAGAGCTGTTGAGAACTGTTTACATGCATAAAGTTAAAAATTAGTTAATTACTACGTCACTTACGTCCATCAATGTACCAACGGTTTTTCTATGTACCAATGTGGACAAGTATGTAATGTAAATAAAAATTATGTATTTCAAAAACCACTTTTATTTGAAAAATAGTTCCTTTTTTTATATTAAAATGATTGCTAATCGTTTCAAAAGTGGTTTATGAATGTAAAGTACCATAATGTACAAATAACTTTGTGCTTTTGTTTTCGTTTTAATTTAGCAAAATATATCATTGAAACGATAAACTACAAGCTGTATCTATCTATATGGTACATTCTTAAGCCATTTTTGAAACGAAACAACCAAGACGCCAACTAAAAAAAAATCACGTTTCAAAATTCCCGCGCAAAAAAGTTTTAGTGGGGCAAGACAGAGATGGCGTGCATTACGGGTGCCATTTTCTTTGTTTGAAGTTGACATTCTTCCCGCCTAAGGGTATTAGTGTTCTGTGCTGTCTACGGTTCGGCCAATAAATAATCTAAACGCGCCATAATAGTGATTATATTAATATATTCTCTTTGTGGAATCAAATCACAGAGTACTTTTTTATATGAAATCAATGAATTGTTTTGAAACTGTTGTATTTGTACGTTTGCACGTCAAAATTCAACGGATAAATATTTCCTTGTTAGTAACGTAAAAAAGTTTTTTGTTTGATATACGGAAAGGAAATGTTTATACACGCTATTCAGAGAGTGAAAGTAAAATCTAAATATTAATTGCAATATTATGCGTTAAAGCGTATTACTGCTGTCGTTGGAAATCGATAATAACCTTATTTTAACGGTTTGGGGTAAGTAATCATTAATTTAATCATGCGAAATATGTCATAAAAACTAATTTTAATGAATTGTTACGGGTTACATATGAGTTCCGAAAAAAGGTTTAGTAATCTTGTATAATAAAAATTATACAAGATTATTGAAATAAAGTAATTGATGATAAATATGATTTTTTTAGTCAATAATACTAAAATACTTTATGACTAAAATAGTATTGCTTCAATGTTTAGTAATCAACAGCTATTATTGGCATGACGCCAACGGATCCCAAAAATAAATCGTCTTTGACGTACGCGTAAGCTTCCACCGTTTACTTCCATGCCTTTTGGTATATATTTTATAGTATTTATTAGTGACAATGGAGCGCAAACAACATTCAAGTCTGCATGGTTCCTTTAGAAGCAAAGATTCATCATCTACTACTGGGAGTGATCCTCGGGAGAAAATAAAAGATTGTCTCAGAAAATTCATTGCATTTATGTTTACACAAGTGGGTGTTGGTGCGCTTGTCGTTTGCTATGCAATATTGGGTGCTGCTGGTTTTATGCATATAGAAAAGGACAATCCAGATGAACAGTTACAAAATGTTAGAGAGTGGAGAAAAAACTGCGCAGAAGAGCTATGGAACATCACAGTGAGCAATAATATATTTAATGAAAGTGTTTGGGAGCAGAATATAAACAGAGTGTTGAAGGTTTTTCAAAATAATATAACATCTGCTGTACATACAGGCTATAATGGCAGATCAGCAGAGGATATCTGGTCATTCCCTGCTGCACTCATGTACTCATTATCTGTTTTTACGATGATTGGTTATGGGAATATTGTGCCTAAAACTGTTTGGGGTAAAATTGTCACAATAGCTTATGCATGTTTTGGTATACCAATATATGTTCTGTATTTTTGTAATATGGGAAAGGTGCTTGCCCAATCATTTAAATGGCTTTACATAACAGCCCATGAATGCAGCCGAAGAGAAGATGCGTTGGTTGATGAGGGAGAAATTCAACCAATTAAAAAGAAAATTACTGTACCATCTACAGCATGTCTTTGGGTCATATCTTTTTACATTTTAACGGGAACAATTATGTTTGGAGCTTGGGAAAAGTGGAACTATTTAGATTCAACATACTTCTGTGTTATAAGTCTATGCAAGATTGGTTTCGGTGATTTTGTCCAGGAGCAAACATTACGGACTCAGCAGGTGGCTCACATCTGAAATTAGTCATTAACTTCATTTATGTCTTGCTTGGTATGGGCCTTGTTGCAATGTGCTACAATCTTATGTGTGAAGATGTCAGGGTTAAAGTTCGAGAGCTGAGGGAGGATTTAAAGAACTGTCTAGATGACATCACTCTCAAAATCACAGTCTGTATGAATGACACCAAATATTACCATCAAAGGCAAACACGGCATATTAAGTGAAAAATTATATTTCTACATTTGTGCAATATTGTTATTGAATTTATTCAAGTATTAGTTATTATGAGTTTATAAGATTAGGTTTTATAAGAATGCAGGATGCAATCTATTTGTATTTTTTGTATTTATGGCTTACAGTGGACCCCGGTAATCCGTTCTCTGGCTACTCTGCACCCCCTTGTAATCCGAAATGCATTTAACATGTAGGTACAATCGAGTCACATTATGAATCCTTTGCGAATATGTGGACAAACGGGTTGCAATTAGTTCGCACCACCACGAATCTGGCTTAACGCATATCGTCTCAGTTCAAATGTGACTCCAGTAGCAGCCTAGCGGGCATTCATTATTTACTGTTTAGGTATTCATTGTGCATCACATGACTTTTTTATTTTTTTATATTTGATAAGTAATTTGTTGGATTAGGAGTCTGAGGCTGTACTCTATAGTCTGACAAATTTGATAATCCCACATCGCCTTTCAAAGTCTGTCGAATTACTGCAGGTCGACAGTATTTGCCGCATTTTTGCAACACTTTTTTTTAAGTTTCATAGAATAATTAAAATATGTATATGCTTACGTATAAATTTCTTTGAATGTCTTTATATTTTATATACTATTATTAATTTTCTTGCTGTATTAAAAATTAAATTAAATTTTTAGTCTATAAATATAGTATAAACAAAATACCACTGACTGATTAACTCATCATGACATCTCTAAAACTATACACCCAATAGATTTGAAATTTAGTATAGTTACTCATTTTGTAATGTAGATGCTCACTAAGAATGGATTTTACTATAGTCCCGTAAACAAAAAATCTTGATATTTTATATCAACATTATTGTCGTCTATTATCAGCTAGTAGAAAACTATGGTCAGTTATGTTGCTATACTATTTTAATTTAATATAAAAGTTATGGGTATAATTTAGTTTATAAATTTATCTGAATTAAATTTATATACCTTAAATCAGTTTACAAATTTTAATATAATATTATTAGTTTCATTAAGTGTAATATTTATATAATTATGTGTTTATTGTACTGTGTATGTTTAGAAGCTTTATAAAATAAATTATATTTTGAGTGAACCCAATTTTATGTGTTATATTATCTACCTCATAATATCCAATTTTATAGATTATAATTGATATTAATCTTTTTTTTTTATTGAATAAGGGTGACAAATGAGAAAACAGTCCACCTGATGGTAAGTGGGTGCTGTGGCCATAGACGTCTACATTTATCTTCTATTAAGAATCATAATGCAGATGCGTTGCCAGCCCCTAGGACTGAGATGGAATACCTTGTTTCCTGTAAAAAGGGTCACCGGTTTTTACACTCACCATACAAAACACAGCAGCATTAAACTGCTATTTTATGCTGGTATTCTGTGAGAGTGTGGTCCTACCCTGGTACAGCTGACCCATTTGTGCTACAACTATACTACTAATATAGCTACAGCATGGCTCTTCCTCGTAAATTTTAGCTATATCATTTTCATCCATCCATTACAGGCTATAAAAGTCCACTGTTAATCATAGGTGAATGAGCCTACTTCTTTTTAAAAGGTGGGCATAGCACCTGCATTCCCCCGGTGTTACAGTTGTTCATAGCAGTCCACACTTACCATTATTCACATTTAAGTGCTTGCTTGCCCCATCTTTAATAAAAAAATTTGCATCCTTCATTGATTGCCTCATTAAAGGGAGATATTTGTTATAAGCATGGCATACTTAGAAGGTAGGATGGCAACTATAGCTTTTTTATGATTTTGAGTGTCAAGAAGATGCTTCTGTCCATCTTCTGTTTCATTTCCGTCTAATAAATAGTTAAATGAATGAATGAATTCCAAAAATAAGAAAGTATTGTCCACAGAACCTTGTGCAAATCAATTCCTTGCATACCTAATGAGTTCACTTATCGAGGAAGGGTCGCTTTTCGGTATGAGACTGTTCCTGAAGAACCTCACTTACCCAACTATTGCCTCTTTAAAATATTAAGTCTTATGATATATAAGTCTTATGGTATATTTTTTTTATATAGAAGAGTGGGCAAACGAGCATGTGGCTCACCTGATTTTAAGTGACTACTGCTGCCCATGATCAACTGCAACACCATGGGAATTGCAGGTGTGTTGGCGGCCCTTTAGAAAGGAGTAAGCTCTTTTCTTAAAGGTCCCCAGGTTGTATCCGTCCGGAAAAATCGCCGGTGGTAAACTATTCCACAGAGAGGTTGTACGCGGAAGAAAACTCCTTTTGAAACGTACCGTGGTGGACTGCCAAGCATCCAGATGGTGTGGATGGTATCGGGACGTTTGCCGCGTAGTGCGTTCACGAAATTTGGCGGCTGGGATTAATCCGAACAATTCCTCAGAGCACTCTCCATGTTATATGCGAAAGAAAACGCAAAGAGATGCAAAATCTCTTCGCAGTGCCAGTGAAAGGAGCCGATTGGAAAGCACTCAGTCGTCGACGATTCGAGCCGCTCTGCGTTGGATGCGGTGAAGTGGAAGGAGCTGGTACTGGGAGCCCCAGCCCAGAGATGGGAACAGTATTCCATGTGCGGCCGAACCTGCGCCTTGTAAAGTTGCAGGCGGTGTGCCGGCATGAAATACTGTCCCGCTCTGCTGAGCACGCCAAGCTTTTTAGAAGCCAATATGGCCTTCTCTTCAAAGTGCTTCACAAATAACTCGACTTCAGACACAAGTTCCGGTACTCGGAGACGTTTTCCCTAGAAATATTGGCACAACTGGTGTACAGAGCATCACCAGTGCTGTCATCTGCATAGCAATGAATGTTACGGGTTTGCAACATATCATTGATATGCAGAAGAAACAGCGTTGGCGATAGCACGCAGCCTTGTGGAAGCATTAATAGGTTTGTAATCGGAGCTTGCACCGTCTACAACGACCTTGATGCTCCGATCTGCAAGAAAGCTGGTGATCCAATTGCATAATTTCTCGGGAAGCCCATAGGAAGGGAGCTTCGAAAGAAGAGCTTTGTGCCAAACACGATCGAAGGTCTTCGCAATGTTTTGGGTGTGTCCACCTTTTAATGGGCTCCTTTTTTTTGGGGAAAAGGGGGGGGGGGTGCCCTTTTGGGGGCTTTTTGGGACTACGCCTTGACGCGTTAAAACCGGTGCCAACTCTGGAGCACACGTCCTCAGCACAATTAGGGGGATTCCGTCAGGCCCACTCGACTTGTGGATGTCCAGGGAGAGGAGTGCTTTGCGAACCGAGCGCTGTGTGAACTGCACTTCCGGCATGGAGCACTCACACCGCGGGATGGTCGGCGGCGTACTCCCCCCGTCATCGAGAGTCGAATTGGACGCAAAGAAAGAGCCTAGAAGATCGGCTTTCTCCTTTGCGGTATGGGCCAGTGAGTCGTCCTCCCTGTGCAGAGATAGAACAGATGGCTGACAGAAATTCCCCTGGACAACCTTGGCGAGAGACCAGAATGCACGGGTTCCAGAAGGAAGGCGAACTAGTTTCTCGCCAATTCTGCCTATGTGCTCTGACTTTGCCTTGGCAATGACTCTTGAAGGACCTTGAGGCTGAATTATACTTCTTTTTTAGAGCGCTGGTGTTTACATCCCGGGACGCTGATGCGTCAGCCCAGGCTTGGTAGCACTCCTGCTTATAGCATGATGCTATTTTACAGGAGCGACCAAACCATGGCTGTGATTTGCCTCCAATGGGCACCGCAGAGGACGGAATAAAAAGTTCCACACCCTGAAGTACCACATCAGCGACAGAATCCGCAACAACGTTGGGATCGTCCGGCGAGAAGCAAACCCGCCCCCAAGGGTAGGATACAAAGAAAAACCGCATCCCATCCCAATCGGCTGACCTATAGTGCCAAACACGGCGGCAGCCTGCAGAATGAAACTGTGATTTAAGCGTGAGTGGCACCACACTCCGGACAAGAGAATGGTCCGAGGAGCCTAAAGGGGCACAGAATGGAAATCTGATATCCGTTCGGGTGAGTGGTCAGCAGAAGGTCCAACAGGGAAGGTGCATGATCCTCCACATCTGGAATCCGCGTAGGCTAAGTAACCAGTTGTGTCAGACCATATGCCAAGGCAAAATCATGAACAGATCTCCCCGCATGATCGGTTAAACGCGAACCAAGCCATTCGGCGTGATGGGCGTTAAAGTTGCCGAGGATCACGATCTCTGCGGTGGAGATCTGCTGTAGCAACGAATCTGTAGCCATTTGGACGTGGTCGAGGAGTCGGTCTGTTTCGGCATTACCGCTATGGGACCTATAGAGGCCTCCCGTAGACGCGCGGATGGTCGTCGCTGTCTACGCGTAACCAAAGGATGGACAGGTCCGAACCCTTAAGTCTGCCGAGGCGTCGAGAATAGATGTCCTCTCTGACGTAAATGTAAACTCCAGCCCGAGGCACAAAGGAGTGTTCCAGTTTGTACCCCGGGTAGGAGAGATACGAGACATCCGCCGGAGAGGACACCTGCGTCTCGGTCAGAAAGAGCAGAGCCAGCCTCGCCGTCTCGAGATGGTAGTGAACGGCGTTGAGGCTAGAGTGAAGTCCCCTGATATTGCAGAAATTCACGGAAAGCATGGCAGGGGTCGCCTTGGTCTTGTTGCTCCGTTTGCCCCGAGCAGTTGTAGTCTTAAGCGGAATTTTGCCCCCCCCCCTCAGAATACGCGGCGCACCCTGAGCACCCACGCTCAGAAGTGGAGAAACATGGTCGTAGATGCTCAGCGAGGGATTCTCCAGGGGTGCTGGTACCCTCCTGAGGTAGTCTATTATCATTTAATTCCGCTACCATGTTGATGCGAGGGGGGGGGATTTGGGCCTCCGGCCACCTGCACTCACCAGACGAAACGCGGAAGCAGAGCTGCCACTTCACGCCGGTATTCTGTGAGGTCGTGGTACCACCCCGGTTTAAGCCGGCCCATACCATACGTGCAACAGCAAAGCTGCCGTGTGGCTATATACCACTGTTTTTTACAGTAGTAGAGCCACGCGCTGTACTACAATTTTAAAATGTGATAGTCGTGTTTCAGCTATATTACAGTTGTAGCATGAATTGGTCGGCTTGACCAGGGAAGGACCATGCTCTCACAGAATACAAGCATAAAACAGCAGCTTAGCTGCTGTGGTTCATGGAGTGTAAAGAATCGAAGACCTTTTTATTGGATACGAGGCATTCCATCTTAGTCCTCAGGGGTGAAAAACCTCAGTATGTTGATTTTATGGGCCACAGTATTCTCTTACCGTCAGCTGAACTGTGTGCTTGTTAGAAACCTTTAATCTATTATAAAGAAAAAATTTAATAGCAGCAATGCCGTTGCCGTAAGGGGTCATCAAAATGCGGCCGCTACGGCTGCGGCGCGTTGTTGGCTTGGAGGGGCGCGTCAATGACGTAGTGTTCTGTCCCGCGACGCGACCTGTCCCTAAGCAGGGCGCACTTGTCTTCTTCGGCGGTGATATTCAGGTAAAATAATAATAATAATAATAATAATAATGTCCTCCAGACCGAATCACGGCCACGGCGGCCTTCCTCAACGGAGGCTAGCCTTCGGCGCAGGACAGGATTATAGTGCCCAAGTGTATGCGCAAGCACAGGTGCACTCTCTATTCCCTCACTCTCATAATCCGATGGGACGGTAAACCAACACGACTGGAGAGAGATCAGGCGCAGGACCAACGACTTTACGTGCTTTCCGAGGCACGGGGGTGAGACGCCGCAAACTTCCTGACTCCGGGCAGCTGCTGAGAATTTCTTGACAGAAAAACTCAATAATTGATTTTTGGCCGCCGGGTCGCTTTATGATCAGCAATCGCACTACAACAACCACTAGACCAACGAGGCAGTCTATTCATCATCATTCATATCAGTATATAATATTCAGGTATATTCAATATAAAGAAATGCATCACCATATCTGGATATAAAGGTGTCCGGTGTCCGGCGTCCGGCATCTACGACTTTTTCTGTCACCAGGGCGGCACCACTTTGGTATGAAGTGAAATATTTGAATCAAATTTTTTTTTTTTTTTTTTTGGTATAAAAAAACCACTCGATAATTCAAAAGAAGAAGAACTTAAAAATATAATGTGCAAAAAAATTTTTGAACACACACCATTAAGGCATTGTTTCATTGTTAGAAAGTTCTTTCTTAATAGCTTTTTCAAAAGCAACTTTACAATGATACCGACACTATTATGTGTGACTATTTGCGTGACAAATAAGTTCACCTTAGTTCCACTTAGCAACATCTACTGAGCGTGACATTATTGGAGCCCTCATTAACGAATATCCTTGAAATAGCTTACCATCATCATTATAGTCTATCAAAAGTCCACTGCTGAACGTAGACCTCTGCCAGAGATTACCTCATAGGTGAGATTTTTTCCATAGTTGCCATGCCAGGTGGCTGCCTTGGCAGGTGCATTGGCAACTGCAGTTTTTTTATTATTTTGAATTGTTATCAGGGTTGTTTCTTGTTAATGCCTCTTTCGACACCAAACCACGATGGACATTAATTGCATGCCTCCTCAGAATACGAATTTAAGGATGTTTTTGACATTACTTGGAAGCATAGCATTTATATATGATAGGACTATGCTGTAGCTATATTATGGTTGTAGCACAAATGGGTTGGCTTGACTGGGGAAGGACTGCACTCTCACAGAATACTACCGTAAATAGCAGCTCTTCTGTATGTCATATGGTGAGTGTAAAGAACTGCACACCTTTTTTACTGAAAACCAGGCATTCCATTTTAGTACTCGGGCGTGACAACACATCTGCATTTTGTTTCTTAATCAACGATAGATGTAAATATCAATAGGCATATCATCCTCTTAACTTCAGATGAACTGTGTGTTTGTTTACCAACCCTATTCTAACAAACCCAACATTGTAATAGGAATGGAATTATATAAAGTGAGAAGTGTGGTAAAAATCAAACTCACAAATGGAGTTGAGTATTTAATCATTTAAAAAAATGCATGAACAATTGTCTCCATTTCTCATTCAAACAGCTTATAAGTTCTGTGCTTTGAAGTTGGATATTAAATCTAGCATATAAAACAATATTTCACCTGTTTGCAGGACTATCCTGAAGTGATGCAGGCACACCGGGACTACCAAAATTACCTAAAATATAATCTGGAGAACACGGCGCGGATGCTTGGCCTTAATTTCCCAACGAAACACATACTGGTTGTGAAACCGTCTAGGTAAGTATTCCATTAATATTACAGTATAAAAGTCCACTGATGACTGTAGGCTTTTTCCATAGATTGGCAGAAGGGTTGGCAAAAGCAGTTTTTTTATTTTAAGTTAGGAAAGTGCTGCTGCCTATAACACGTTTCAATTTCTCTCTGTCGCCTCTTACGACACCCACGGGACGATATGGGCTAGTGGATATTCTTATTGCATTGCTGTAAAAGATTAGAAGTCTTACCAGTGTTGAAACAGCTAGACTAGTTTACTTTTGCTATTTCTATAGCATAATGTCGCATGTTATTTTGCTATGGGGACACGCGACTGTCCCTTAAATTTGTTTTACAGAAGAGGGCCATTAGAACAATCTACGATTTAAAATCTAAAGAGTCGTTCAGACAAACATTTAAAGAAATTAATGTATTAACTTTGGTCTCTCAATACATTTATGAAAATGTAATGTAACTTACACAAAGATAAAAGTAGTTTTGCAAAAATAAGTGATATTCATTCTGTAAAAACTAGGAACTTGTGTCTGACAAGCTAGTACGAGTTACTTGACTTACTTGATGGCGATCGTTTTTTGAGATAGTCATGGAGTTATCTTAATCGATTATCTTCAAAACGGAGAAAACCATTACAGGAGCATACTACGCATCATTACTTGACAAACAGAAGGCGTAAATTGCGGAAAAACGTCAACATTTGAAAAAAAAAATCCTGTTTAATGAAGCAACGCGGTGCCATGCGAAAATCCTGAACTGCTTGACCATCCGCCTTACTCACCAGATCTAGGCCGAAGCGATTTGTTGTTTTTCCCTCATCTAAAAATTGCGGTCGAAGGACAGAGATTTTGGTCCAATCAGGAGAAAATCACGTTCGTGAAAAATTTTGCAGGGAGAAAAACGCCGAGTAATATTTGGACGGATTAAAGAGATGAGAGTATCGCTGGGAGAATTCTGTAGAGTCACAAGGAGACTATGTAAAAAAAAATTAAACCTTGTATCTATATATAACCTGATAATATCCGGTTAAATACTCGAAAACCAAATCGAATAGGAAATCATATTCGGGAGTAAGCCTATAAATGACTAACCTGAGTGCAAGAATTACTTATGACAAAAAATATGTAATAAAATTCTTAAATCATAGATAACAGTTAGCAAATAAAATAAATGAAACTTTCACAGGATAGAATACAAAAGCTTCAGCTGCTACGACAACTTCGTTCCTAGCAACAATGCTGGTGTACCGGATCACACGCCCACACACAGCGCACTCCTTCATCTTGAGAGGTAATGCATCTTTAACAGATTCAATTAAATTTCAAGTCAACTGGCCATATACAGTACATCTATGAATATATATATATATATATATATATATATATATATATATATATATATATATATATATATATATATCATCACGATATTGATTCTACGTCCTTTCATTTCGCATTATTATAGCGTCCACCACTTGTAGGCAATTTTTGAAAACTATGACAGCGTATATTGGTCCATTAAACAAATTCAAAGATAGTGTTCAACTCATTTTTTTGAATATTTAGTATATGTCGATATACAAATATACGTATATTGCCAGACGGAGGGAAACCAATCGGGACTCCCTTCCATATTACCAATTATTCAGAATCCCCGTAATATACATAGTTTTTAATTCATTCTCCTGCTTATCGCAATTCCTTTGTATAGTGCGACGTTGCCACTCTTATTAGTTATTCTGTTTTGTAATATTTTATTTATGGGTGATATTTTGTTTAATGTAGAACTATAAAATTTATTGAATATAACCGCAAAATTTTAATTGACTATATAATTTAATCTTAACACATTATAATGTGAATTATTATGATGTTAGTAATAAGAATAAGATTATTTTATGTTAATATAATTATCAGAAATTTTCATTTTAATAATAAAATAAAAAATATTTTGTATTTAATTATTACTTTTCACACCGGCAGGAAGAATATTGCAGTATTTTTGTTAAATTGTTAAGACCTATTGTAACCCATATATTGCCAACGAATAAATGAACTTGAATTTAAATTTGAATTTCTCTACACTCACCATACAAAACACAGCAGCGATTTTACTCTGGCATTCTGTGAGAACGTAGTGCTTCCCCGGTCGAGTCGAATCATCTTTACGTCAAATTAAAAATATATTTGATTCGTTTAGCACGAATAATATAGTTTTTATCATTCTGGTTCAGATTAGATTTAATTTTAGTCACTTAAGTTTCGTATATTGTGCAAAATAATGAAATAAATGTACAGAATGTGCAATGTGAAATTGAGAAAATATAATTTTTGTCTACGGCAAAAAAAAATAGACTATGTATCATGATTAATTTACCAACTAGTTATTCGTTGAGTCAATACAAAAAATATCAAAAATTGCCGAGCCGTGATAAATTATAGATTGAATATATTATTATTTACTTTAATTGTAAATACGTACTGATGTAAAATGAAACAAATATTGAGATCAAATAAAACGTTTATTGAACAAGCATCTTCTTTCAAACATTTGTTCAATGAAGTAGATACTTAGAATAAAGATTTATAATAAGGAACATAATTAACACAATTTGGCACTTGAAATAACATAGGTAGTAATTTAGAGCAAAACTTTTGACGCACACAGTGCCCCAAAAACCGCTACAAACGGCAACATTAATTAAAAAAGAAATAAGAAAGGTGTTCTAAGCGTTTTATCATTTCTAGAATTGTGTAATGTGAAAAAACTGTTCTAGAAAAGTGACTATTTTACACCGCATGGCATCCCTACACTGAAATATAAAAACAATAGCGAAAAATGTCATTAAAGCAATGGTCATTAAAGTGTGTTTTATACACAAGGAATTAAAATATAAATATATTCATGGTTATATGGACGTCAAATATCGTGCGGTATGAAACTTTACCGATAATCTGACGTCCACATATAAAAATATAACAAAATTCAAAAGTATGGACGTTAAATATCATTCTGTACGAATGTTTTAGGATATTCGAACGTCCGTATTATTATATGTAGCTAAATCTAAGGACACGTAAAGAAATTTGAAAGTAAAAATAGCACTGAGTACAGTATAAACCGACAAAAAATACCAAAATATACCTTGAGCACTAAATAAATAAGTAATCAACATAAATAAATAGTAAAACGCAATAATCAACAACATTGGACATCAGATATCAAAGAAATGGATGTCAAATAAAACTTTGTGAGAATATTTTAGGATATTCTTACGGCCGTATATGGGTAAATACTCAACTATACATTAATCAACTTAAACAAGTTTAACTAAGGAAACTTAAATGCAAGCAAACAAGCGTGGAAAGTTCTTAATGTGCGTAGGTCACAGTACGGACGCCAAATAAAGCACGATATGCATGTTTTTTAGTAATATAGCGTCCAATATGAATAAAAATTATAATTGTATTTCAACTAAATGCAAAACCAAACATATCATAATTTAACAAAAATAGCCTTTCACAAAATAAAATCAAGTTAAGTAGATAGTAATTTCTTACAGATTAGGTACAATAGTCGCACTCATCCTTAAGATAGTGATCATAAACAGTAAACTCGCAGTGAGAGCACCAAAACTCAACACGATCAAGTAAATAAATTATATTTTCGGAGTTATTCATGTCAGCAAAATTATGCCACGGTCTGTTGTAGGAATTAACAAATCTTTGGCAACTAATCCAGTAAAACCTTTTATTAAAATGAATTTCTTCCCAAGGCCATATTAGGTTATTAGTCAGAATATAACAAAACAAACTTCTATTTAAAAACCTGTCAATATCTACAATTAACTCCATCTTTTTGTACTCAATCAGAAGGTAATTTATACTCAAACAGAATTATGGGTTGCTTACGACATAACAAAAGTTCTTATAGGCAGTTTAGTACTGTACAGTACATAAATGTAAAATGTAAAAATATAGTGCAGCATGACGTAAACCGATAATATAAGTTACTGAGATCCCTTCATCAGCTATGAAAAAAGCTTATGACCTTAAGACCGCACCCAAATCGGTTCACCTCTTTAGGAGCTACGGTGTCACAGACAGGCAGCCACACAGACAAACATTCACGTAAAACTTATAACAATCCTCTTTTTACGTCTATTATTCATGGATCCAATCAATCATTAAATTCGATAAGGTTGGACTAAGAGAGCGAGATGGAATTTTGACAACCAGCAATGTTTTAAAAACAAAATACGAAACTAAACAAAAATACCACAGTAATTCGTAGGAGAATTCCCGAATATGGCTATTTGTTGTTTGTATAGGCATTTTGGACGAAGACTTTTATTTTTAACCAGTCTTTGTTGTGCAGAATTTCAGTATGTTGACTACGAAGTTCCTCGCACTCATGGCGTTTTGGCGGTTGTTTATTTTTAATATGTTTGCTAAAAAACTTTTTAACTATACTTTTCTGTTCTGTGGTCCAAGGAACAAGGTTTCGTTTTTTCTTTGTTTTAATATGTGTAGCATTGGTAGCATCGCTAAGTAGAGTTGACTGCGGAGTAAGGACAGGGTTATCGTCTGTGAACTCCGTTTCTTTTGATTTTTCAGTTGGTAATGCAGCATCGTAATCTATTAATTCATCACTGTCGTAATTATCGTGGCCCTGTGCGTTTTCTAGTAAATCTTGTTCTAAATCTAAGTTTATGTCATCCAAACATTTGCCTCTATAAGAGTCTGCTTTGCCACTCTCCATGAGTAGCAGTAGTTTTGATAGTTTGGCCGTCTGATACACGTCATCGGGTAATCTATAGTTTTGTCTGTGGACAGCCTGTGTGTGCCCCATAAAGTTAGCTAGTTGTTCAATGTCCGATTCTTTAAGGTTAAACATCTGAGTCAACGTAGCCAAATGTTTGCGTAGCTTAGTCGTAGTAATAGCTGCAGGATTTCGAGCTCCACTTGCAGTGGCATACTTTTTCAAGACCTTATAACCACATAATGTACTTTCAGATCCGGGTTTTGCAAACAAAAAGTCGTTTTTTTCACATATGTAATTACGTCTCACAGAGATAAGCAAATTGATGTCACTTTGGACTTCGTCAGTCAACAGAACGGGCACACCTCGACCTCTTTTTACCCCGTATAACAATACGCTTAAAACTATTTACCAACACTTTTTCCGCACTTGAAATAGCTCGGTCAAATTCCTCATATGCGCTTTTGTCATTGCTGCTCTCTTGGTAGATGCTGAGTGGGAGACGTTGCAGTTCACCAGGCCGACGTCTGTTGAGAAGAAGAACGCGGCAGTAAACTGTCTCTGTTAGAGTGTTGTACGCTTCAATATTGCTAGTTTCGGATTCTATTAACTTAGATGCTGCAGACTTAGATTTTTCGCAAAGATAATTTTTAAGGAGTTTTAAGTCTTTCGCAAGAGGAACAATTGTAATTTTATTCCATTTTTTTAAGTTTAAGTCATTGCAGGCCTGGCTTGAAACATCAAACTTCCAATTAGTCTTGATGAGATGAATTAGCGTCTTTAGATCAGCCTCTACTGCAGCAGTTTCCACACTGCTGCCTGATTTTAATGTAGTCATTATGGCTATGTTGCAACACTGTTTTAGGCTAGTGCTGATGTTCATGGCATATGTTGGAGCACCATAGCGATCTGTTATACAATTGTAACTTGATACTTTTTTTAGTTGCAGTAACAATTAGATCATAGTTTTGAGGTTTCAAACAATCCATCAAATTTTTAAGTGACGGTTTCAGCGTCTTCAATTCTAGTAACAATTTAGCCAATTCTCTCATTTTTCGCGATGTAACGTTTACGAAGTGTTTTTCTCGATGAATCCTTAAATATTGGGCTCCAAACGCACAGATTAACGTGTCTCTTTTAGCTTCTAGTGATATTTTGTCAGGTCTCATTTTTGGAAATACCTCATCTTTAAGTTTTTTGTCAATATTTAGGTTGCGTAACATAAAATTTTGAGACTGAACTTGAGTGTTGGCGGTATCGGATAACGGTTGACATGTCTTCTTATGTTTCCACAATTGTTTCCTAGAGTAGAAGCCTAAACATTTTTCACATGGTAAGTAATCGATGTGTGGATAAACATTACTCTTTTTCATAGGTTTAACACATTTTATAACATTCCGAATATAGTTTCCTCTTTTGCGTAAGTTGGTTATTAGGTTTTTGCGTACGCAACTTTTCGTAGGATGAGAGATAATATTTTGTACTTCGGGTTCCGTACAATGATTCCGCAATAGATGTCTCGCAAAATTTAGCACATCGACCTCATAAAAAAACAGTAATCCCTGGTTCTGATTCTTTTCAACTCTTTCGTCTTTTGGCAACTTGTCAAATCCTAAAAGAGAACATTTCAATGAATTACAGAATAAATTTGCTTTATGAATTATCAACATTTTCACATCTGGTAACGTTCTGTAATTCTTGCCGCACGATAACATACGGTACAGTAACGTGCATTAATTACAGGACGTTACCGGAATGTCTCAAGAAGCACTTAGGCTCTCGTGATTGTATTTTGTTACAATAAGTGTCTAGAGGGATAGGCATTCTAAAATTAAAGGTGAGGCATCCTTTTTAGTCACAAATTAAATAGTTATCTCCCTAAGAATCCTCAAAATTAATATTTATGCCCAACATTTTTTTTAACAACATGAACATTGTACAGTTTTAATTGATTTGAATAAAAAAATCAGAAAGTTATCTTCAAGATTTGATGTGAAACAAAAAAAAGAAATATTTCTGTCGCGTAGCGAAACTAAAGCTTCATATTCCTGATTTATGTTCATATTGTGAAATAAATATATTCATGAGCATACAATGTTGATTATTGCAGCTTCATGGTTTCAGAATTTAAGTAATAAAGAAAAGATCTCACCTGGGGTTCCTCTAAGCTACGACGTCTAAGACACAATTGCTGATTTTGATGTGTCTTATTCAATACTTCTTCCGTTTCTTCAGTATAACTTGTGATACTGGAGGATTTCTCGAATGCAGAAATGTACGTTGGATCTTTGTCAGAGTCGTCAAACTCAGAGCTATTGTCATTAGAAAAATTAGGAATGCCATCATTGGAAGCGCCACCTGACGTAGTAGGTACTGAGTCTTGTATCTGAGTGGTATGGTCTTGTGATAATGATTGGCTTGTTATTGTGTGATTTTTTGTGAGATTACATTCATTAGGATTACTTAGTGTTACATGCATTTGGTACGGAGATTGTTCCAATACGTTTGATAAGGACTGGTTAGTTATAGTAAGACACGATTGACCACTTTCACTATGCATTGGGTTCTGAGGTTGTTCCAACACATTTAAATAATCAGAATTTTGGATAACTGAATTATTACTGTTATCAGCCAGAATGTTTGCGTTCGCTTCGATAATAACGTTGCTGTCAGCATCTAGCAGAGGAGGACTAGAAGTTGCAACTGAATCTGACAACAAAGTATTCCGCGGTGTCTCGATGTCAGTCATTGGTCTTTGATCTGGCAAGCATGTTTCGTTATAGTTCGAATCCGAGTCATCAGCATCATTCGTTATATCATCCATCAGAGTATCCGTCAAGTCGTTATTTAAATTTGAACTATTTGCAGTATCGTCGTCCGTAGACGGTAGATATGTTTCATCCCTATGTTTCTCATTATCAATTATATCAAATGAATCATCAATGCTAGTATTTGGCGGTGCGTATGATGGGAGATTACGTCTGGATCTCTGTAAAATAAAATGAATTAGACAATGAGACATCACACACATCGATCTGATGCCGAGATAATGTAGTGTATGTAGGTATATACACGATAGCCTAAGATAGATTCGACAGTAATAAATCTACATTCAAGATCATTATACGCTTCATTTATTCCCCGAACCTCCCATTTATTTATTTATTTATTATATGGACAACAAAACAGATAACAATCAAAATACATTAAAAATTATACATATACATATAACAGTTTTGTGCCAGATTGTTTTTCTAAGTATGTTGACACATCATTTTCATATTTTACTACAGGGAAGATCAAATCTACGCTTAACAATATAAACAATATTAATGCCGTACATTATTACATAACACAATAAAAATTTACAAGCAACAAATTTAAAATCTATGTGATATGTGAAGGAGTGTGTATGACTTTAAGCTCTTTTTACTGCTCTTTTGAATATCCTTGATCTTGGGTCAAAAATATCCAAGCCGGAGTCTTTCATGGATATCTCGTTGTAAAGTCGACACATTCTTATTATCGGGTTGTAAAAAAGAAGTATTATTCTTGTAAGTCTGCAGGTAAAATGTCTTGCTAGGAATTCGGGGATTGCGCTTTGTAATTAAGTTTAATTTACTTAAGAGGTAACCGGAATCGATCTCATTATGGAGAATTTTATGTAAATATATAAGGTCATATTCCTTACGGCGAATAAGTAAAGAGGTCATTTTAAATTTGTCGAGTCTCTCACTATAACCGACAAGACTGCAACCCAGACCACATTTGTAGCTAAGTATTCTAGGGGTTCTTTTTTGGACGCTTTCTGTACTATCCGAATGCACCGTGTAGCAGGGAGACCATTATAACATTAAGTAGCTTAAGCACTTGTGTTACGGAAATCAGAATCAACGAAGCTATTACAAATAAATACATAATAAATATATTACACCCAGATACAGAACAAACACAATGTTCATCACTAAGTGTTTGTCCTGGGCGGGGATCGAACCCACGACCCCTGGCTCAGAAGGTAAGAGACTACCCTTGGTCCAACGGGCCAGTAAGTATAACATTTATGTACCTTTTAGAAAAGCGTATGACCATAAATAAAAATAGGCTACTTACTAATGACATTCTTCTTAGATTCACGTAATAAGAAGCATCCCTTTGTTTTCGAGATTCAGTTGGAGTTGTAGCATCTGAAATAATCTATTAGATTAGGTATATAGTTTGTTGCCAAAAGAATAAATAAATATGCTATCGGTAATCTGTATAAACCGAGATTATATACCCAGGCAATGTACAACATACCTAAAAGGTAAACTGAAATATTATTCATTTTGTACTTTGCCTAGGTAGATCGGTACTGGCTTCATTTGACAGATGGATGTGACACAAATCGCCTCACCTCAGGCACATATTCCTTATATCGGTTTTTTGCACATGTACATTTTATGTGTATTTACTTTGCAAAATTCATAAATCAAAATGCAAAGCGTGTAACGTTGCGTTATGTTTCAACCTAGAGCAAGATTGCTGCTACTTTTTTTTTACTTTAGAAGTATAGTTGTAGCACGAATGGGTCGGCTCGACCGGGGAAGGACCACGCTCTCACAGAATACCAGCGTGAAATAGTAGCTTAATGCTGCTGTATTTCGTATGGTGAGTGTAGAGAACCGGAGACCCTTTTTACTGAAAACGAGGCATTCCATCTTAGTCCTCACGGGTGACAACGCATCTGCATTTTGATTCGTAATGGAGGATAGATGTGGATGTCTATGGGCCACAGCAACCACTTACCATCAGGTGGACTGTGTGCTCGTTTGCAACCCTATCCTATAAAAAAAATACAGTACCATTCGTAAATGAATAGTACTGTAGATACAGTAAATCCAACAAAAGTACCAGGAGCCTTTTAAAGAAATGAGGAGCCATGTTATATATTTATTCAACTAACTATAATTTATTCAGCTAATTATTTCAGACTATCATCGTTGAAATAGTTAAGTTGGTTAAGTTACAGCCTATTTACGTCCCACAGCCGGGCCTTCCCTCACTTCTGAGAGGGTTTTAGGGCAAAGAAGTGCCGGCTGAGCTACCCCTATGCGTGTTGGCGAACTTCATGGCAAAAAAAATATGTCCTCGAAATATTTTTTTCTTATTTCTCAGACAGTCCGACTTCCTCACGATGTTTTCTTTCACCGCTCAGCACGTGGTAGATCAGCACTTAAAATTGCAATTAACAATTTCATTGATGCCAGCGGGGATGCACCCGGTTTGCGAGCGTACTGTGAAATTACGAACGAAACGACGAGAGCCGTGGTGGCTCTTCTGAGCCACCACGGCTCTCGTCGTTGAAACGAATACACCTTTTTTTTTGTATGTTTTTTTTTCTCTATAGGATAGGGTGACAAACGAGCACACACATTGTGAGTTGTTGCTGCGGCCCATAGATATCTTCATCTCACTCATCTCACCCTCGATTACAAATCAAAATACAGATGCGTTGTCACCCGTGAGGACTAAAACGGAATGCCTCATTTCCAGTAAAAACCGTCTCCGGTTCTCTACACTCACCATACGAAACACAGCCAGCATTAAGCTAATATTTCACGCTGGTATTCTGTGAGAGCGTGGTCCTTCCCCGGTCGAGCCGAAGTATTCGTGCTGCAACTATACTACTAATATAACTGCAGCATGGCTCTACCACGTATAAAAAATGTTTTAATGAACTAGGAAAAAAAATCGGACTTTAATTGTGGCATATTTTTGGAGCTTAAGAAGTGGGTTCTTTAAAATATATATCCATAATATATTTTTTATTTCAGGAAGAGATATTTTTATTTTAAATTTTATTATTTCGTAGATATTATTTGTGTTGAAGGAAATATGTTGATTATTTTGGTAATTGGAAATGTAAAATAACCGCCGCGCACCTTGCGCCGCCTTTGAACGGCTTTGTCACTCGACACTATTATGGTCGAGTATTGTTTTTTTTTTTTTTTTTTTATTTATTGTGACACAAACAGTCATTAAAAAGAAAGTACAATATTATAACATTACATAATTAATAGACAACGAGTGCCGAAGAAATACATTAGAATAACATTTCAGTTTAGCTTGTTGAAAGATTTACCCAAGTTAGTTGAAGCTGAGTAGTAAATTTATCTTTATGTAACAACAGTACAGTAAAGCTTAAAATAGGTAACTTAATTAAAGTTGAAAAACATACATTTTTAAGGGACAATAATTAATACATCGTAGAGATTACCGAATGTTACGCTGTCAAGTATTCATCTGAATAACTCTTAAAGATACTTCGTTTAAGACTTTTTAAGGAGCAACTAAAGAGATCGAGATTTACAAATTCTTTATTGTATAATTTTAACGAACGGGAGATAAAGCAGTTTTGTGTATATTTTTTTCGAAGTGTAGGTGGTACGAATGTTTGAAATACACGTTGAGGGCGAGCGGGCAGACGAAAATTACTTTTAATGTTTATTTTGGCTAATAAAGGAGAGCAGTCAATTTTATTATTTAGAATTTTATACAAGAAAATGATATCGAAATATTTACGGCGATCACTGAGACTCAACATTTTATGTTTATGAAGGGAGTTAATATACGGTTCGCCATAAAGGTCACAGCGGTAATTTAAAATCTTAATAAATGTTTTTTGGACCTTTTCAATTCTATCAATATGGTTTTTATAAAATGGACACCACACTATACAGCCGAAGTCAAGAATGGATCTTACAAATGAGAAATAAAGGATTTTAAGAGTGATAGTCTTATTGAATGGTTTAGTTATTCTATTAATGAAACCGAGGCTTCTAAAAGCTCTTTTTATAGCTAAATCTATGTGGTCATTGAAGGAAAGCTGATCGTCCATGTTGATGCCCAAGTCACGAATGTTTCTAACACGACTAAGAGCCTTCCCAAAAAGAGTATAATTATAAGTTAAGAGGTTTGATTTTCTTGAGTAATTTATTATAAAACATTTATCTGTATTGAGGTACAAGTGATTACTTTCACAATAATTACATAAGCTCTCAATATCCGATTGTAGTTTGTGGCAATCTTCAATAGAATTTATTGTCCTGAAAAGTTTGGTGTCATCTGCATACAATAAATGATGGCTGTTATGTAAGACATCACCTATGTCATTGATGTACAAGGAAAAAAGCACAGGGCCCAGATGAGAGCCTTGTGGGACCCCAGAAGGGGCCACAAGAAAGGACGAGCAGTAACCATTCAAACAGACTGCCTGACTGCGATTTCGTATATATGATTCGATCCATCTAAGCAGACTTCCATGCACTCCTTATCTCCAAAGCTTTTTTAGAAGTATGTCATGGTTAATTTTGTCAAAAGCTTTGGAGAAGTCGGTGTACACGACATCAACCTGGGTGTTATTATCCATTGCATTAAGAAGGAAGTCATGACCATATTGGTGTCCACACTGCGCGATTTCATAAAGCCATGTTGATTTTCATCGATATGATTACGCACAACATATGACAATTGATTAGTTACAATCTTCTCAAAAATTTTACTAAGGACACATAACTTAGAAATTGGCCGATATTGAGTAATTTGATCTTTTTGTGAGTTCTTTGGTATTGGAGTAATGAGAGCTCGTTTCCATACACTAGGAAACATTCCAGTTTTCATAGATAGTCGAAAAATATTAGATATCGGTTTTAACAACTCTTTAGCACAACGCAATATAATCACTGGGTGCACTCCATCCGGCCCGGCACCTTTATTTATATTGACATTCTCTAGTTCTTTAATAATGATGTCATCACTTAAGTAAATTGTATTTATGGATATGAGCGGATCAGTATTTAAATTATTATCTAATTTACTATTATTATAATTGGTGGGCGGCCTAACAAAAACAGATTGAAAGTAATGGTTAAAAGCATCGCAAATGTCGTTACCGTCAGACAGGGTCTCACCTTTGTAAGTCATTTTTTGAGGGATGGTACCAGTCATTCTCTTCGATTTGACGTAAGACCAAAAGAATTTAGCATTAGATTCAATTTTCTGTTCAGAGAGGGTAATGAAATTTGAGTAACATTCACTTTCCATCTTGCGCAGTTTCGATCTTAGCATAGAAAATGTATTGTAGTCTGCTTCATTATGATAAGTTTTCCATTTTTTATGGTATTTGCGTTTTTCTTTATCGAGTTTAATAAGGGGACGATTGTACCACGGGGGATATCTACTTGTATCGTGTACAATGCGGGATGGTACATGTTTATCTATAAGACTATTAAGAATTTCATAAAAATATTTAACTCTATCCTCAACGTCAGGCATAGTACAAAATTTTGCGTCCCAGTCTACGGAGACTAATCCCTTTCTAATACTATCAAAATCTGACCGAAAGAACAATTTTTTGTTTATTGTGTTGGTTTTGAGGGATTTGTGTAAGTGAAGAGGAAGTTCAATACATAAAGATTTGTGATGGGCATCTTCAGCTATTAAGGGACTGTCACAGGCCCGTAAACAGCAAGCAGTCGTGCAAAAAACTAAGTCAAGTAGTCTGTTATTTACGTTAAATTCATAATTAAATTGTGATAATAGGGAAAGGTTCATGAAATCGCTAGTGAGGGCTATTAATGGATCATTACTTGTTCTTATGTTCATGCTACCTATGTCGTCATCATAAAACCACTCTGCATGTGACACATTAAAGTCACCTAAAATAAGAAATAAATCGTTAGGATTTGTGTTAATTAGATCACTAGTTCTATCGTAGAATGATGCTAGTAAAGATTCGTGTCGGACGCCGTGAGGTATATAGGTACAGGCAAGGTGTAAATACGATACCGCGTTCGCAACGTCGTCAGTAGGTACAGGCCGGGTGCGCAACGGAATGCTCACCCACAGCTCGTCGGCGGGCGGCGGGGCGCACCAGCGCGTGCGCAAGCTTGGACACAGCTCGCGACTCACTGCTATTATGACGCCACCGCCACGCGTGCATTGCGTGGAAAAAGAGTCTCGATCGCATCTAAATACCTCGAAGCGCTCATCAAAAAATTCAGAATTGAAAAATCCTTCATTTAGCCATGACTCAGTGTGATACATATCACATCAAAATTACAATTTAGAATGCTTTTAAGAAAGTCGTGAGATTTAGTTCGCAAGCCCCTAACGTTTTGATAATAAATTGATATTGTTTTACGAATAGCCATTTCATAAAATTAGGTTATTTATTATAGAAAATAATAGAAAGACAATGTTACATTCGTACCACATTATTTTAATATTTTTTTGGTGCTTATTAAGAGGGTAGATAGGTATTTCAATTCACAATAATTATTATTTTGAATCTCCCTATATCCTGTAGTGACACCTATAGAATATTTATTTTTTGATTTAATTAGCAATTTATGGATTTTAAAGAAATTATAGTTATCAGATATTTGTTCATTAAAAAGTAAATAATAGCACATAAATAAATATTCACAGCGCAATGATGCATGCTTATATTGACTATCGTATACAGCGTCAAGAGTTATAAAATTAAACACAGTACAACGGCTCAAATGTAATAAACACATAAATGCAAACAAAAAAATCGACACAATGTTAACAAAGTATACCTTATCAATAAGTAGTCATATTTTGTTTAAATCGTGTTCATTGGATATTTGTATTATTTTAGATGTATCCGATTTGCGCAAAAACATTTTACAATCCCGTGACCAAATATACTTATAATGGAGTTCTTTACCTAGTTTACGCGCTTTTCCAAATAAGATTTTATTATGTGGTGCCAGATGGTCATTAATAAAAACCGGTCTTGAGGCGCCGTCCAGGCCTAAGTCAGCTGTAGTCAGGCCGCGGCGCACGCGCACTGCCGCCAACATGTCGGATTTTCTTTTTCTTTGAGTAAATCGTACTATGATATTCGGGATGTCAGATGATTCTCGACCAAGTATGGTTTTCTTATTATCATCATTACGAGGATATCGCCTGACTCTGTGAATATAGTCGACATCAGAAGGTGATATTATGAATCCAACCTTAGTTGCGATGCAGTTTAGGATAGTATTGAGGTTTTCGCTTCTCTTGAACGGGATTCCGGTAATCTCCAAATTATTCAAGCGACCTTGCTGCTCTCTGTCGCCGAGCTGTGTGGATAGGGAGGTAATGACGTGGTTTTTTTCAGACAATTCTTTTTCTAGGGTACATACTCTCATATTTGTCGATTCAATTTGTTTATTCAGGGTCGTTATGTTAAGTTTAATGTCATTAATTTCACAGGACATGTTTTCGGTAGTTTTATTCAGGTAAGACATATGCTGCTTCACATCACTGATATCCTCACACAACTTGCATATTTTGTCACTTTGCTGGTCAAGCAGTTCCTTTAGTGATGCCATCATACTTTCCTTAAAAGCTGCTAACGTCTCGGACATGTCACGACGATATGAAGAAAGCGAGTTACTCAGCTCCTCGCGGAAACCAGTAATTTCACACTCGGGGGATTTTTTCTTTCTGAGGGTAATGCCTTGTGAAGAGTCAAAATCCCGTAGCTTGGTGAGGTCGAGGTGCGATCCAGTAGGAGGACTGCGCTGCTAACTCATGTTTATAAGAGATTATACTTGTACGTGGAGGTTACTCGACGTGAACAGCAGGTGGAGCGAAGGTATCAAAAGAAAGATTCACGAAGTATTCCGAGGTTAATCGATACGCTTACGATGAGGCACATTAGTAAACGTAGTAACGTGAGTAAACGTAATAAGAATGTTAGCCGTTTCTTTCGCTCACATACGGAGGAAGGGATTACACTGTCAATAAGCCTATTGCACTGCACAAGATAATGAACACTGTAGCAACGTAATAAGGTAATAGTTTAAGTCACACTGTCAGTATTTCAATATCGAATCTAACCGACACAGGTCCGCTCATCAACAAGCTTCGAACACGACTGACAACTTCGAACACGACTGACGATGATATTGTTTACAAAAACCGTTATTTTAGACTGTACATCGGCACCTTTAATGGTTTTATGGCTTTTAAGGGAATGAATGAACCTTTATTTTTCTACAAGCGCTGTTGAAAATTGTTTGTTCAAATATGTAAAGTAATAAATTTTTTAAAAATATGGCATTTACGGCTAAAATTTTGATTACTTACACAGTACATTAAGAGTACTTATGAAATACTTTGTGAGATTTGTAAAACTTAGCAAGATCTATTTAAAGATGACTGAATCATGTAAGGAAAAAGAGAGTTTCAACTAGTCCTGGAAAAAAAACCACATGCTTCTTCATGAATTTAAGTATATATTTTTAAAGAAATAAAAAAATACTATTTTTATTGACTAACGCATGCCGCTCTGGTCCGAACTACATTCTAAATCGGTGTAAGTTGGTTGTGGGTTCTTGTAAGCTTATTATTAATGCGTTTTATGATGAAAAATTGTATTGTAGCCTATGATTTTGCACACAAAATATTGTAAACAATAGATTTAAGTTTAAAATTAAACAAAATTGAACTATTAAAAAACTTTGTTTCATCGAGAAATATGACAATTTTGACTTTACTCAGTATTTACTTACACTAATTACTTTAGGACTTTATTAAATTTATGTACTCTTTTATAGGAAATTTCATAGAGAATTCAGAAATGTATATATATAATTGTATATGATATACCAAATTCAAGAAATTTGCGTTTAAACGGATTGCGCCCAATGCGCCGTTAATTTTATTAAACAGCTCCGCAGTCAATGGAGTATGACGGTTAGAGTCAACGCAGTTGAAAGACTAAGTTACTTAAGTCACCAGACACCAGACACAATGTGGGTTTAATAGGTAATTAGGAGTAGTACATTGTACATGTTGTATTATATATGTATAAGTGCAATTGTATTATGTTTTTTTTAACATAACACTGGCTAATATAGACCAAAATAATTTAATAAATTGACAATCCAATATACGGATGTCGGAAGCAAATAAGACGCCACATTATATACAAAAATGGATATAGTGGACGTACAATAAGTTACGGGATATCAATAACGTACGTCGTAAATATATTTTAGACGAACGGACGTACCTACTTTTGAATAATATACTTATAGATAATTATTTTCTTATAGGAGTATACTTTTTTTATTAAAAATACAGTAAGCAGCATATTCGGCTTGAATTCACTTCTAAATTACATAAAATTCTAGACTTCGATATTTTGAACTTTGAGTTTCAGTATCTATCTGTAGGCTTAAATCAACCTATTTATAATATTTATTCAAGGTTTCAAAAAACCGTCATCTTTCTAGCACAGTTATAAGTCCCCTCAGATTATTTTTACAAATTTTTAAAAATGATCTAGACGCCACGTTTTTTTAAAAATTAACTAATGAACAAAATTTGAAAGAAGCCTGACTTTCAAAATAAAAGATATAGATATAGCATTTCACTCCTCCTTGCCCTTGTTTTCCGCAAAAGTATCTTAAAAGTATTTTGTTCTTGACTTGACTTGTGAATTTCGACAAGAGAAAAAGTTTATTAATCATTAAAGTATATAAAAAGAAAACTCTTTCTATTAAACGTGGTGGAACATTAAGGTCCGATCCTCATTATAATGCCGCTCACAGTTCATTAACGATCAGATTTCGGTCTGTTAAAATATTATCAAGTAAAAAATATGTGTGTGCATTCATACTATCAGTAACAGTCAAGTTTCGGTCAAATCCCATTCCATTATAATAAGTCAGACCGAGAGCGGACCGAGAACGAACTGTGAACGGCAAATGAGGATCGACCCTAAAAGCACTTTATTTTTTATTTCAGAGTGTAAGGTGTAAGTAAGTACCTACTATAAATACCTAACTAACATCTTTATTGTATAAGCAGTAAGCATGGGCGTTTTCAGTTCTTATCTGCAACGGTTACGTAACCGATATCTAGTTTTCATATCGTTATTGAAAACCGTTTTCAGATATCGATATCAATAGTAATGGTTTGCTACTGAATGTGCAAACGACAATCGTACCATAACCGCAAACTGTACTACGAGTGCAACATGTATTTAATGAATTACATAGATTATTCTAGATTAGAAGTCAGAGGTTCTAATCTTATTGTTATCTTAGATGTAATATTTAAAATGTATGTTAATATATAATTTTTGTATATTCAATGTTATGCTGTAATAAATTATACCGTCACTGTTACAGCTTATTAAAGTACAATGCTGAACACATAGGCCTTCTCATAGATTGTATCATAGGTGGGATATTTGCCATAGTTGCCACGCTTGGCAAGCGGGTTGGCAACCACAGTTTTTTTGAAGTGAAACTTTTTACGGGAGGGCTTTGAGTGAAATACTGATCCGCTATATTTTTGTATGACGAAAAGTGGTGGGTGTAAACACTACGTACGTACTGGGCATTCGGTCGATCATTCAAGTCGCAAACGCATGGCATTACATACCATAAAGTATATAGTAGTACAATTACAAGCTGACAACGGTCTTTTGTATCAAATACTAATCTTATATTAATTTTATTTAAGACAGTTACCAAGGTACACGTATTTATTTTAGTAAGATTGAGCTGAGCGCACTTCAGTAATAGCGCCAGTATGTTGTATAGGTAAAGATATTTTGTCGAACAAACACTGATAGACTCTCAAGGTCATTGATTTATATATTACACTAGATCAGTAATAACCGCGCCAAAGCGTTGCCACTGCACATATGGCCACAGCCATATGCCTATCTGACGTCAGTTCAGTGTTCAATGTGACGCTGACAGAGTTGAGCTGCAACAAAAATGGGTAAATGCCTAGTGAAAGAATGCTATTCAAGGTCACAAAACGTAATAAATCAATCGGAATCACTTTCAACACATAACTTTTAGTTCTTGTTTTCATATAAACGTAAAAAATCTCAAATAATTAAATAAAATTATCGAATATTTCCATTTAGGTTCAATGTTGCCACTTTTCCGCATTTGTGATTATCCTACATTAATGGGAGACTATATAATTAACTGAGTAAGTTAATTTGTTACCTCTGATTTTAAATATTTTGGAAACTATAATAAAAACTACGTTTTAACTTTCATACAAAATAATTAATTATTGTTATTTTAGTTTATTCATGAATTATCTATAAAATGTATTTTAAAACTTATTTTATATTTAAAAATTTTTATATTAATTATAATTTCATATACATTTATATTAATTATATTTTATTACCTATTTTATATTGTTTGATTTATTAGTACAATAAAAATACTTATAAAAATATGTTTTATTTCATCATTATGTTTACTTCCATTTATCTGATAAGCTTTGTATCCTTTTGTTTCCAAGGGGACGCAATAAAGTTTTTAAAATAAAATATACTTTTTTTAATATAAAAGCAATTAACTGCAGCTTAAAAAAAAACTCATTTTTTATTGCGTATTTTAGGTAAAATTTCATATAGTAAGCCACACCAACCCGCCTTTGCATGTTTGTGTATCTATCTTTATCTAATCTTAGCGACGATATTGTTTTCGCAACTTGTGTAAACGAGATAGATATATGTTTATTTAAAATTGTTATTAGTTGCAAAGCTACATCCTCGCGTTTGGATAGTGGTTACACTTTTTTCGACGCGCGGTATTGTAGTTTGCTCCTCTAGTGTTGTATAACTCAATGCTCAAGGTGGTATGTAGTATAGATGCTAGATGACATAAACCTAAAAAATTGCTGCCCGTCTCCTGATTTGTTTCCGTGTAGTGAATAAAATTACGTTCATTCTATCCTTTTTTTTTCTATAATTTTGTTTCCCATTTTTTTTCAAATTGAGACGTAGGATCAGAGTCTGATTTCAAAGTCTATAATTAAAGTGTATTCTTTTTTTTAATTTGACAACTCTCACAGCTACACAAACTTAAAAATTAGGCAATTTTAATCATTTGAAATTCGACCCTTTTGCTTTAGGTAATTATATCCAGATGTGCATTGCGTACCTACCGTGTGAAACTAAAATTACCAAAACAGAAATCCTCTCTTTCTATAGGAATTTATGATACCGTCGCAAGAACAAGAAACAATGAATATCAATGCAGGACATCGCATCGGTTTAGCTCGTAGGCCGTTTTGGTTTCGTTTTCGTACGTTGGTTAGGTATATGGTTTTGGTTGGATATGTGATAACGGTTTTGCACTTAGGTTTATCGATATGATATGATATTTGATAACATAACGTTACTAGTTACGTTTTGATATATCGGTCTCATGCCTAATAAGCAGTCCTGGTAATACACGCTGAAGACGCGGCCGACAGCGGCCCGCGGCTATAACGCAAAATTTACTTTACGCTTGTAAGGTTAGGTACATTTTTGTTCGCAGCGTCTAGCGTGTCGAAGGAGTAGGCAACTATAGCAGTACGTAAAGAAAATTTTGGA